AAGTGTGTAAATCAAATGATGGAGATATGATATACTGTAGCATTAGCTAAAAGTAGAGATAATAAAATTTATATCTTCTACGTAATTCAATTATAACAATAACCAACACGGTGACAATCATTACTTTACCATGTTTAGAAGGTATCCCAAAACAGCATTAGAGTTAGAATTGCATTTGATTAATGATAATTTGGATAAGTTTGATTTAGAAATGATTGATCTTGCTACAAACCTTAATGAGATTATAGTGGTGCATATATGGAATTTGTAAATAGTCTAGAACATAGTGGAGAATGTTGCTAATGAACATCATCAATTTAGAGAATATAATGTATGAGACGTTTTTTTAATGCAAGTGATTTTTATGTCAAATGAGTGGTAGAACACTTTAGTGCTTTTACAGAATGAGAAAAGTGACAAATTTTCTCACAATTATGCTGGTTTATATAACTTGTTATAAAGTAGCTTATCAAATGCAATTGTTAGCTGGAATAAAAATTCATTTGATATTTTATGTCAATTATTTGAAAAGTGTACTATCTTAGAGTGAAGAGCCTAATGACACCTTAATGTATATGACTTTGAATAATAGATTAAAAACTTAAACAGAATTCCCTAAAAAAGGTGATAACTGGTGCAACTCATCTTTGGGATAAGAATATTGTTGAAGGGGAAGAATTGTTAAGCCTTAACTTTGACCACATAATCAATTTGTCAACTAAAGGATATATTATAACATGGATTTAGTGTAGAGTACCCTAAGGGCTCATAATGGTAGTGGTGGTTGTGGGTGGTGAGAAGGTGTAATGTTATCTAGATGAAACTAGACTTCTTTATCTTTATCATTTTGTGCCAAGTCATAACACTTATAATCGTGAGTTGCTCATAGGATTTTAGCTTTATTATAACTATAGTGTGGGAGTTAGTGAGACTTATTTGGTGCTAAAGAGAGCTTGGAAGATATAACTCATCTATTTGCATCCCAAGGCAAATAATGGTGCTATAGAGAAATTGACTAGGTTTTACTCATTTCTTCCAAGTCAAGAGCCTTTAATGGCCTCCAAATAGATAAGTAGCCCACTAAAGTCTAGATACAAAAGCTTAGAGTTGTTTGCCTCTTATCCTTTAAGGCTTTGGTGGTTTTCACGTGGAAAGTGACATGTAAAAACTTGGATGCATAAATTGGCTTGTTTGTGTACATTGCCATTTTGGGAAATATTAGTGACATTTCCTTATATCTAAAGGCTGAAGTTAGTGGTAGAGATGCTTTCAAGTAGCTCTAGGAGCATGTTGGGCATCATTATGCCCACACAAGCAAAGAGAGTATCAAAGAACTATCTTTTATTATCCCTTCCTTTGACAAATGTTTTTTGTAACAAGTCAATGTAGAGAGGTCTCCCAATGGTCTAGGAAAGCTCCCAGCAAGGGGCTTAAGAAATCACAGTCCACAACATTTCCCCTACAAAGGCATCACACATAATTGGGAGATTAACCAGCTTGTGGCATATATGCTTTGTAGTGTCTAGAGAGTGGCATGCCCCACTTAAGAGCCAATATAGCTCAAAACTGCTATTTCTTCAAGACTAGAGTATTCTCCAGTGAAGATCTCTCCTAGATCAAAGCACTATTAACAATTGCCACATATGGCATTTGCTTCAAGAACAAAATCCCCATCTAGCAAACACTGTCCCAATGGCAAAAAAAACTCGCAAAAGCTACAAGACATGGTCCCATGACAAATGAAAAAGAGTGAATTGACGGTATTGTAGCTCAGGGTGAGTATGACACTCTGCCTTGTTGCCATCTCCCTATAGGAAAATGTGGCAGTGACAATTCTTGGCTAGAAGTAGTTGTAGATGATGTTGCATCATCCAAATCACCATGCCACATCTTGGAAACATGATCTAAGATGCTTAGCCTCAGGCATACATCACAAGGTATAAGGAGAGACGATGCTTGGGTGCCCTTGGTGCTCCTGCTACTGTTGTTGCCACTGTGGGCATAGTAGAGACCCATTAGGCACTATACTTGCATAAAATCTAGGATGGGCTGCCATGAAGAAGAGGCATGATAGGTTTGCTCCTGGGTTGTTGCCACTATTGGTTTTGTTGCTAGGAGTAGAAGCTCTCTCCCATCCTATCTACTTTCACTAAATATTCATCCACAGCCTTAGCTGAAAGTTGCCAATGGGAAGAGCTTTCTCACCTAGTGCTGTCATAATTAAAGTGACTTAGGAACTAGATATTCACTCTTTAGATGCGCAAGAGAGGATGGAGACAAGGAGAGATTAGAGAGAGAAGAGGCAATGTAGTTAGAATGTGTGAGCCTGAATACGACTACATGCTAGTGATATATTTGCTAGCTCGACCACTCCAAAACAATATTGAAAGCCTGGACCCATTATTAGCTTCACAAGCTTAAAGCGTTTATTCTTCCAAATTAAATTTATGGGTCCAACTGATCTACATGGCAGCGGTAGAATGATGGGGTAGCTATTGCATTTTTGTCAACTTCACAACCAGCCTGTTGCAATCCTCAATCATTTAAACGAACGAGAAGATTCAAAATGATAACCTGCCCAAGTCCATGCATGCCCGCCTTATGTCACTCCTGTGTTCGTCATATGAAGAATGACTCTAGCCTGCCCTAGGTATGTTCAGCTCCTCTTCTGCTAGGAATGCAGTCATTAAACCGGATAAAAGAACCCTTAAATTTTACAGCCCCTACCAAGGAGAACTTGCTCCTGCTAAACAATAGCACTCAACCCAGAGAGAAGTAGAGAAAAGTGGAAGAAACAAAGAAGAAAGAGGCAAAGAAATCAAAGATGTAAAGAAGAGGGTTGTATTCCCTCCGGACATGACCCAATCAATAGCCGCAATTCTTGAAACCTGGTGGAATCGCGAGCAGTACCCCGCATCCGGATTGGGCAGGGACAAATTCTTCGTCTCGCAATCCATAATCGCTGCCTGGACGTTCATGCAATGCGAGAGATCCAAGACTGTAGCATAGCCCGTGCATGGGTTTCGAGATCTCACTAAAAGAATTAAGGACTAAACTTGGCAGCAAACCTTTTCCTATGTCATTAGAGGAGGCGACCCTGGCTAGTGGTATTGCAAGCTTTCGTTGCAGTACTGCTTGAAAGAAGCATTCTCCTCAGTGATGAAGTCACTGGACAAGAAAATTGAGCGCGTGAAAGGGTATAAGAGAATGGATGAGACACTACGCACCATATCCGGGACACCATTTCACTTGGATCCCAGCGGGGACTCCAAGGGTAATCCTCGTATGCTCGAGAGATTGGCCGTCCTTGCGAGTCGAAGTGCTGAGAAACGAAGCTTTAGCTTAACGATATCATCACAACACACAGATACCTGTGAGCTTTGCAACAGCAAGGTGGGCTGGACTTTTGGAAACTGCAACGGTAGAGAGATGTGGATCTTCAAGAAGAAAGCATCAACAAAGTCTCAGTGCCCGAAACAGGGAATAAACTTTTATTTGCTTACCAAGAAGGTGAAAACGCCAGCCGAGGCTATCATGGAAACCTTTCTGCCAAAATCCTGCAAAACTTCGTGTAACTTCTTCTCTTTGTATGAATCAAGCAACTCCATCTAACCGTTTCAGCTTCAAGAGGCCTTCCAAAGACCGGAACCAATGCTTCTATGAAATTTCTCCGGAGCGTCAGAGACGCGCAAGCATCGACTATCTACACAGCACACTTAACCAAATCAGCCACAGCCGCCGAGATTCTGCTTACTTGTGACTGTAGCAACTCTAGCAACTTGGGAATGTACTCGGCTAAGCACCTAAATGATCAAACACAAGCTTTAGCTAAGATACAATACATACGCAAGGAAAAGAAAGAAACGCTTACATGCTGTCCGTCCAAGCGGGGAGCCTAACATCCTCCACCTTGAAAACCTCCCTGAGAACGTTTGGAGCGTGGAGTTTAATCAGAGGAACAGCTGACAAAAAAGTAAACTCCCGCTGCACTGGATAGCACACCTTCATCCAGAGCCAGCAAATTTTCGAATGAGCCAGCAAAAGGAAGTCGAGGAAAGGCTTACTTGCAGCACTACTCCGGTATTAGGCGGCTGTAGCAAAAGGCGACTCTGCCTTGCTAGCTTCGAAAGATCCACTTCGTGGAGTGGAATGGAAAAGATGACTCGCGCCTGTTAAACTGCGAACAATTATCATCCAGAAGAACAAGGAACAAGGCAGACTTTTCACTCACATTGTCTCCATCTGTGACGAGTCCCATTTCAAGATCCTGTCCAAGTAAGAAAAGAGAAACACGCAAACATGGAATCAAAAGAAGAAGAAGAGGAGAAAGATAAAAGACTACCTCAATGCTCTCGAGTGTGTTAACCTCGAAATGGAGACGAGAATCCTTGAGCTCTTCCACTCGCTTGCGTTGATACTGAAGATACTCGTTCCTAGAAGATGGAAATCGTAGCGAAGTCTCTTTTAAACAATCAGAGAAAAAAAGAGATCTTACCGCAATTCAACGAGGAACCTGAGAAGTGTGGAAGGATCTTTCGAGTCCCAGCCTTTCAAAATGGAGGAAATCGAAGAGTTCGTGGCAAGTGGCTGAAAATCCGAGTCGTGGGCAGCAAAAATCACATCCGGTGGCCAGTATGGATGCTGACAGCTGAAAATCACTTCCCCTGGACAACCAAAAATCTTTAGGAGAAGCACGCTCGGGATAAAAAAAGAAGGCTACTCACATCGAACCGGCTCAAGGAAGCAAGGAATGAGCACAGAGAAGCGATCGAAAAAACTGTGCGACTCATGGCTCTTCCGGAAGCCATCGACCTAGACGCTCCAAAGAAAATCAAAACAAAAACCTTTGATCGATCGCTCACCTGTATGGGCAGCACAGAGTTCTGGAGAAGATAGTCGACTTGATCCACAATGTCGCGAGGGAGCATAGGAAACCAGCTGGGCGCCATCGCCCCTTCTTTTTAGCAACTTTAAACCCTAAGCTCATTAAGTTCGACAGAAAATGCGAATATTCGTAGATCTCTTCGTAAAGCAGCAATCTTTAAGCTCTACGCCTCCACACTCCAAGCTCCACGCTTCATACTCTCCGAGCTCCATTCATACTCTCTAAGCTCCTCCAGCTCGCTCCAAACTCTTTCAGGCTTACAAGAGTAGAGACTTTCAATTGAATTCATTCCGAGATTTCCTCTCATGCATCGTAGACTCTGCATTCATCGGTGTCCGGGTTTGTCTTGCAAAACTCGTCCAAAGGATCACCGGAAGGAGCCGCAGCTCCACCGGGCCACTTGTCAGCTACAAGGTGCGCCAAGTCAACCACCCGTTGACTTTTCAAAACAAGGATTAACCGCTAGTCAAAACCTGGAGAAAAAAGAAATGGTTGCTCACCTGTATCCCCACTCGTTGTCATACCAAGCGACCACCTTGACCATGTCGTCGCCCATGACCATGGTCAGCGACGCGTCAACGGTCGATGACACATCGGAGCAGCGGAAGTCAACGGAGACCAGCGGGATGTCACAGACGGCCAGGATGCCCTTGAGGGGGCCGTCGGCGGCCTTCCGGAAGGCAGCGTTGACGTCCTCGGCCGTCATGCCCTTCTTGTCAACGTTGACCACCAGGTCAACAACCGAGACGTTTGGAGTGGGCACTCGCAGGGCAATGCCATTGAGCTTGCCCTTGAGCTGCGGAAGAACCAGTGACACCGCCTTGGCGGCGCCTGTGCTCGTCGGGACGATGTTTAGCGCTGCCGCGCGGGCTCGCCGCAAATCCCTGTGGGAGGCATCCAGCAGCCTCTACAAATACAAGAACTTGGTGAGATCTTTCTCGTTTTCTTGGAAATCATTAACCTGATCTCCTGTGTAAGAATGTGTTGTTGTCATGGTCCCCTTAACAATTCCTGGTCACAGTTGGCCATCAAGTTAAAGTTTTGGATGAAGTTTAGTCTTAATGTACCGAATTCCTCGTCCATGACTTTAACGAATGGAGCCAGGCAATTCGTCGTGCACGAAGCGTTACTGCAAAACAAAGATCGATTGTCCTCCCCAAAGAAGCAGCGAAGATTCTAACCTTACGATGTTCGCCACCTCGTGATCGTAGTCAGCCTCGTTAACGCCCACGACGTAAGTTGGAATGTCGGTTCCTTTTGCCGGAGCAGTTATAATCACTTTCTTTGCTCCGGCCTGGATGTGCTTTCCAGCACCGGGTCCATCGACAAAAACTCCAGTTCCCTTGAAAGTGATCAATCGCAAAAGTTTGTGACCAAGTTTTTCATGCGAGATCGCTATAGGTACCTCAATAACAATGTCGATTCCCATGTCAGCCCAAGGAAGTTTCAAAGGATCTCGGCTGGAGACAACTGTGATGTTCTTGCCATCCACGCTGATGGTCTTGTCGTCCACAACTTTGACGTTGGCCTTGAAAGTTCCAAGCATGGAATCGTACTTGAGAAGGTGTGAAGCCTGGTGGATCATACATTTCAGTCACACGATCAGCACTAAGATTTCTCTTACGTTTTTGACACCTCCACTGTCGTTGACGGCGATCACATCCAAGGGGGAATCCTTTCGGCCGTGCCAGCAACGGAGAAAGTTGCGACCAATCCGCCCAAAACCATTGATGGCAACTTTGAGCTTTGCGGTGGTTTCACCTTTGATTGCTCCACCAGACTATCAAAAGCATGAAAGTTTAATAAAGAACTTGTTCTTCCCACGATCATAGCCGTACGAGACAATACCTTGACAATGGAAACTTGTTGCCTCACGGTGTCGAAGAGCGTCGCGTCATTCCGAGCCGCAAATGGCATTGAGGACGAGGCCTTAAGTCCAGAAAACTCTGCCAGCTCCATCTTTTCGCACGGACAATACAAAAATTAGAGAAGAATTTCCGCTCAATTGTTCTAAAGTTCTGGGAAAACAATACCGTACCTTCCCAGCAGCAAGGAATTGGGAAGAAGCTATAGCAGAGGCCATTGTCCTCTCGGGCCAAAGGAGAAAACTCTCCACACAATGCTTATAAAAATTGGTATCACATTTGAATGGAATTTACCCGCGAGCAAATGTAAACCATGAGACCGCGTTGGCGATAAGGTGGTCAGGCCTCGCCACACACTCCTCATCTCGACCACCGTACGCATGTGAGTTTTGGCCCGTGGCCCAAATCGTCGTGGACCTGGGTTCGAGTCCTCTGCCCCGCAAAAATATCCAGAATATCTACAAGTGTAGGGTTTGTGCCAGCGAGTGGGGGACGTGGATAGAGCAATGAAACCCTAGTGCGGGATTTTCGGAAATGGCCACGCTAGTCTCCTCCACCAGCGCCGCGCATTCGCTTCTTCCCCACGGCGCTGCCAGAAGGAGCTCGCATTCTTGCTGCTCGCACAGGAATTCCTTCTTTGGAGCTGAATTGGATCGAAAGAGCGTGTATTACAAGTTGCGGCGATCGAGGAGCCGGCGGGAGCTGCGATTTCTGGTCAGTGCGCACCTAGGTCAGCCGGAGGATTTGGAGTCGGCATTGGATTTGCTAGCGCAAGCGCCGGAGTCAGTCCAGAATGCGCTCGCTAGAGTCGAGGGATTTCTCTACACTGTGGCGGATGCCGCTGTCGCCACGGATGTTGTAACGGATAGCACGAGTGAGACCGTCCAACAGGCCCAGCAGAGCGATTGGTTCTCTGGCGTGACTACTGTCATGGAAGCGGTGCTCAAGGTTAGAATATACTATCGAGCGAATTCTATGCTTCGATCGATCATACTCCTTTGTGTTTTTTCTCTTAGGTGTTGAAGGACGGTCTTACAACGCTCAAAGTGCCGTATGCCTACGGGTTTGCGATCATTCTACTCACAGTCTTGGTGAAAGTTTTGACGTTCCCATTGACGAAGTCACAGGTAAAACTTAGAGATTGTTGCTGGCTAGATACTAAGGCGTTGCGAATTTCCAGGCAGAGTCCACGATATCTATGCAAAACTTGCAGCCAAAATTGAAAGCCATCCAGCAACGTTATGCTGGAGATCAGGTACTCAGTGACTGCTTTTTTTTCTCTCTCTCTCTCTCTTAGCTCAGGAAAGAGTCTTTGCGTTTGGCCAGGAAAGGATTCAAATGGAGACAGCTCGTCTCTACAAGCAAGCTGGAGTTAATCCTCTTGCTGGTAAGTTCTAGTGAGTGTAATTCACGAGCTTGATGTTTTTCTTTCTTTCTTCGTTTTTGTTCTTGCAGGATGTTTGCCGACCTTGGCGACTTTACCTGTCTGGATTGGCTTGTACAGGGCATTGTCAAATGTTGCAAATGAGGTCAGTTTCCGGTTGTAATTTTCTCTGTTTGTTTACATTTTCTTCAGGGCCTCTTGAGTGAAGGGTTTTTTTGGATACCTTCTCTGGCAGGTCCGACAACAATAGCTGCACGTCAAAGCGGTAGTGGTATCTCCTGGCTGTTTCCTTTTGTGGTCGGTATAATTTTGTAGCAATCAGCTGGTTTTCAAACTCGTTTTTTGTTTAGGATGGGCATCCTCCCCTGGGATGGGGGGACACAATCGCGTACTTAGTACTGCCTGTTCTTCTGATTGGATCACAATACGCTTCTATGCAGATTATGCAACCGCCGCAGGTACTGAAATACTACTTCTCGCTGTACTTCGTAACGCGTACGAGGGTTGTTTTTGCAGACTGATCCAAGCCAAAAGAATACACAGCTAATTTTGAAGTTCCTTCCTCTCATGATCGGCTATTTTGCTCTTTCTGTTCCCTCCGGACTCAGTCTATACTGGTTAAGTAGAGAACCGTGTGGTGAACTCTCTACTTACTCATTTTCCTGCAGGCTAACAAACAATATCCTCAGCACTGGCCAACAAGTGTGGCTGCGAAAGCTCGGTGGGGCTAAGCCTGTCGTTGCTAGTGGCGGTGGTGACATAATCTCGGCTGGTCAGGCCAAGCGGTCTACTCCATCTCCACCCGCAGCGACTGTAGCACCAGCACCAGCAAGAGAAGCAGGAGGAACAAGAGAAAGCCGACGGGGTGAAAGGTACTCGTCTGTTTTGATTTCACTTTTAGACAGCAGCTTGTAAATCCAGGTTCAGGCAACTAAAGGCAGCAGAGTCGAAACGAAAAGCCGAGAGAGCAGAGAAAACAAGATTGGCCGCAGAATCAACTAAGGCGCCAATGTCGTCTGAGAGAAAAGACGGGGAGGAAAGTCGCAAAGCCGATCCAGAGACTAGCGACGGGGACGAGTCTTCTTCAGACGAAGACAGCGATGATAGCGAGGTCACGAAGGTGCGTACTTTCTTTTGTTCCTGTTAGTCACCGATGGATCCCACAGGGCTCGTTGGAGGAATTGTATGCTAGCAGTGGGAACGGAGCAGCTAGCAATGGAGGCTCTCCCAACAAAAGTAAGCGATCGAAAAGGAAGCGCTCAGTTTGAAAGCAACTAAAGAAGCCAACGATCACTGTCCAGGTTCGGCAAGCTACTTTGCCTGGATTCAAAAGGATTTGACTCTGTGGATAGCCCAGAGGAAACACTATCTTACAGTTTTGTAAAATATAATTCTCGTTACTTGCTAGGATCAAACCCGGAATCCGGATTTTCAGCCTTCACATTCGTTTCTAGAGACTGAACTACCTTTGTAGGCTTCACGTGAAGGCCACACTGACGATGCCTGAGTATGAGGAGCACGTCAAAAGGGTGATAGTTCAGCTGGATCAAGGTTTTTTTAAAGTGCAGATGCAGGTATTCATACTGCACTCATTTGATTCATCATATATGTTTACACACGTTATACTAAATTCACAAAAATTTACTTGCTTTAGAATTTTCTCATACCATAGAAATATGCTATATTCATAGAGGTGTAAGAATATATTAAATTATATTTTAAATATTTCTTAATTTATTATGCTCTTAAATTTTTTCTAATTCATTTATAAGTAATGAAAGATTACCCTAAATAAATGCTTTCATATTTTCTTGTAAACCAATTGCCATGGCCACATTATTCAGTCCAGAAATGCCAAAAAATAAAGCACTAGAAATCTAACACATGGCAAAAAATTACTCATTGTTTATTCCTCCCTCTCTTTGTAATCTTCCTGATGTTTTAAATTGTTATTGTGTATGCTAACATGAGATATTAAGGGCCTAAGTACAAGTAGCAATGACTTTCTTTTGAGCTATTCTTATACAAACTTTCTAACTTTCCAAGGAGCTCATAAAGAATAAAAGAACTACATACTACTAGTATTGCCAAGCAAATGTTGGGTGAAAATAAATGGGTGATTTTATATAAATATTTTTGCTCTTGTGAACTTGATAATATGAATATATAACTAAGAATAAGTATTTATTAATAAAATATTAGATACAAAGTATTATTTGGAAATATGAACATATTTAGAACAACACCCAACCCATGAAAAAGTAAAAATGGAATTTTTAATATTAATTTGATGTTGTATGTAAATTATGTTTTTACTGGGATAAATTTATATTAAGATTTTATAAAACAAAGTAAGAGAATATTGACTAAAAATAATTATTAACAATTTAGTTATACCCAATTACTAAGAAAATATTTTATAAACATATATTATATATAAATAAATTCAAATGTTAATACATATTTTTTGCAGCAATGATTGTTGGTAGTAAGTTCATTACAGCTCAATGAGATGCTTATGATGAGGAGTTGGAAGAACTCTCATTAACAACACACAATGGTATATTATTCATTGATTTTTTCATTCACTTAGCTCTTTTGTAAGTCTATTATGTTTCTCCAATAACAAAATGAGGCATTGTGAGTGTCTTTATTAGCTCCTACAATAGATTATTGAATCTTTCACAAAAAACGACATGAACATGGACATATGATGCTAGTTCAACCGTTAGTGTTGAAAGATATAAAAGCCCTTGTACCTAGTTGCAAATTTCATTCTCTTAAGCTTTTTAGATGGTCTTTCAAATATTGATGGAAAAGTTAAGTATTGGAACTTTCTCACACCTGACCATATATATGATGCATTCCTCTTGTCTGAAGCATTTATATTTAAAGTTGGCTATGTCATCTCAATCTTACCGAACAACCTCAATTGGATATATGAGTTTATGATATGTGTAGCAAAAGTTCATTTCAAGTCATTCTCTTGGGTGTATCATGGATCCTATTAACCTCAATACTAGGGGAGTTTAAGGGAAGTTTGAAAGGGTGAGTATATATTTTATATTTTTATCTGATTTCTAGACTTTCTTATTTTCTAGGTTATGATATGGACCTATCATACCTTCTACAAAAACACATATGACGAGTTTCGTGATAGCGAGCGTGTAGTATGTGTTTTGCCACTGACATCATACCCAGCCTTGTGGATAAGCAAATCTATAACACATTTCCAAGGTATCAATTTCAAACTCTATATAAGCTCCTGAGTTTGGACTTCCCGGGAGGTCACCCAGCCCAGTACTATTCAAACCCAAGGACGCTTAACTCTAAATATCCCAAAACCATTAACCAATTGGAAAAGGGGGTGCACTCTTATTCATGGGCCCTTTCCCTCTATATTTGAACCCCTATGGATCGTCTCTCGAGTCGTTCCCTTTGGTTGCTTACACTCTATTGGTAATACAAGTCTTGCTTGAGTTCTATTGCCCACCAAATGGTGTTGTGATTGATTGCACAACAGATACTAGTTTTATAGTGGAGGCAATACATGACTTGGTAAGGTAGTGTTTGCTATTGAAGTTCTTCAAATGCTAGCTCAAAGGATTTCATGAGTTGCCTCCAACCCTAAGGAGGTAAATTATGTTTATTAAAATTTCAATACATGTTCAATTTTGTTTTATAAATCACTATCACTTGGAGAATTGGAGGCTTTGGAAGTCTTCCAAACCATGCAGAAGCGATGGCTCAACAAATGCAAGATGAATCTTCCCTACAATACCAAGATAGGAGGAAGCATAAAAGGAATTAATATGTTGATGATGAAGCAAAAAAAAAGTTAATTACATCCTTACATGAAATGAAAAATGTTAGATGTTTGTGAAAGTGTTAGATGTCTGTGAAAGTGTTAAATGTTAATGATAGTGTCG